GAAATCAGTACTGACATTGACTTACAGCTCGGCATGCTTGGTTATCAGGAGAAAACAGGAATGGCCGATTCACATCAGTGATCCCGTACGTTGTACTTTCTAGGGATTTGAATTTGGGAAAGTTGGGGGTATGGAAATATAGGGTGCTTGTCAGTAACTACATAGTTACATAGTTACATAGCTGAAAAGAGACTTGCGTCCATCAAGTTCAGCCTTCCTCACAACCGGCACTCCTAACTCTACCTGTAAATAGGAATCATCCTTACCTGGGACCCAGCACTCCTAACTCTATCTGTAAATAGGAACCATCCTTACCTGGGACCCAGCACTCCTAACTCTACCTGTAAATAGCAACCATCCTTACCTGGGACCCAGCACTCCTAACTCTACCTGTAAATAGGAATCATCCTTACCTGGGACTCACCACTCCTAACTCTACCTGTAAATAGGAATCATCCTTACCTGGGACCCAGCACTGCTAACTCTACCTGTAAACAGGAACCATCCTTACCTGGGACCCAGCACTGCTAACTCTACCTGTAAACAGGAACCATCCTTACCTGGGACCCAGCACTGCTAACTCTACCTGTAAATAGGAATCATCCTTACCTGGGACCCTGCACTCCTAACTCTACCTGTAAATAGGAATCATCCTTACCTGGGACCCAGCACTCCTAACTCTACCTGTAAATAGGAATCATCCTTACCTGGGACCCACCACTGCTAACTCTACCTGCAAATAGGAATCATCCTTACCTGGGACCCAGCACTCCTAACTCTACCTGTAAATAGGAATCATCCTTACCTGGGACCCAGCACTCCTAACTCTACCTGTAAACAGGAATCATCCTTACCTGGGACCCAGCACTGCTAACTCTACCTGTAAATAGGAACCATCCTCACCTGGGATCCAGCACTCCTAACTCTACCTGTAAATAGGAATCATCCTTACCTGGGACCCAGCACTCCTAACTCTACCTGTAAACAGGAATCATCCTTACCTGGGACCCAGCACTCCTAACTCTACCTGTAAATAGGAATCATCCTTACCTGGGACCCAGCACTCCTAACTCTACCAGTAAATAGGAATCATCCTTACCTGGGACCCAGCACTGCTAACTCTACCAGTAAATAGGAATCATCCTTACCTGGGACCCAGAACTCCTAACTCTACCTGTAAATAGGAACCATCCTTACCTGGGACCCAGCACTCCTAACTCTACCTGTAAATAGGAATCATCCTTACCTGGGACCCAGCACTCCTAACTCTACCTGTAAATAGGAATCATCCTTACCTGGGACCCAGCACTCCTAACTCTACCTGTAAACAGGAATCATCCTTACCTGGGACCCAGCACTCCTAACTCTACCTGTAAATAGGAACCATCCTTACCTGGGACCCAGCACTGCTAACTCTACCTGTAAATAGGAATCATCCTTACCTGGGACCCAGCACTCCTAACTCTACCTGTAAATAGGAATCATCCTTACCTGGGACCCAGCACTGCTAACTCTACCTGTAAATAGGAATCATCCTTACCTGGGACCCACCACTCCTAACTCTACCTGTAAATAGGAATCATCCTTACCTGGGACCCGGCACTGCTAACTCTACCTGTAAATAGGAACCATCCTTACCTGGGACCCGGCACTCCTAACTCTACCTGTAAATAGGAATCATCCTTACCTGGGACCCAGCACTCCTAACTCTACCTGTAAATAGGAATCATCCTTACCTGGGACCCAGTACTCCTAACTCTACCTGTAAATAGGAATCATCCTTACCTGGGACCCAGCACTGCTAACTCTACCTGTAAATAGGAACCATCCTTACCACAACTATGCCTTGTCCTTTTTAAAATTCATATAATTCCATACAGATTTGTGGGATCAAGGTCTGGGTGTGTATTTTATTGGACAAAGCTGTTCTAAGTATGATGGATTTATTTAATTTGTGCCAACATTTTCTTTAGTGCTGCTAAATGGGCATTGAACTAAATCAAGCAAATAAATTTAACAAACAAATTAAAGGGACACTATAGTCACTAAAACATCTTGAGCTTTATGATGCAGTATTGGTGTATAGCTCAATTCTCTGCCATTTAGGAGTTAGAGGAACACTCCAAACACCTAAAGCACTTTGGCTAACTGAAACGCCTTATGTGTAAAGAGTTACATAGTTACATAGCTGAAAAGAGACTTGCGTCCATCAAGTTCAGCCTTCTTCACATATGTTTTTGCTGTGTCCTCTTTTTTCATATTGCAATAAGTGCAGATTTCAATTACAATTTACACTTTTATAAATTAACCTGGTAACACCCCTCCAGGCAGCCAACAGGTCATGTTACTTCCTGGTTTAGTTAGCATGCATGCTGTCATTTGGGGCATATCTACTAAACAGTTATTGCTTAATTTATTTTGTATTTTGGCAATAGAGTGTCCCCTTAAATTAATCCTGCTCACTTAATAGCCTTCCAGACCCTGCAGTATGTGATTAAAGTTGAATTTACAGAGCAGGAGATAAAAACTTTAAAAAATTTTTTAAAAAGCAGGTTAACGTTTGATTTAAAAAAACAAAAACATTTTTCATGCAGACTGTGTCAGTCACAGCCAATGGAGGTGTGGCTTGGGCTGTGTAAACAGAAACAAAAGTTATTTAACTTCTAAATGGCAGAGAATCGAGCATTGAGACTTCAGTGGCATGATCTATACGGCAACACTGCTTCAGTAAGCTATTGATGTTTTGATGCCTGTAGTCTCCCTTTAAGGACAGATATAGGAGTGAAATGACCATCTATTTTATTTATTTATTACTGGTATTTATGAAGCGCCAACAGTTTCCGCAGCGCTGTACAATTAGCGGAGGACGTAAAATAAACACAGACAAAATACAAAAGGTAGAGAGGGCCCTTCCCATAAGTTGAGATCTAGCCATTTATGGTCTTTTATACAAAGTGCTTAGCTAGATAGCCGGTGAGCTTACAATCTAAAGGATACCGTGGGGATTTGAGACAAGAGGCAGCAGGGGAAATCTAGATCAAGGTTCTCCAAACTTGTGCCCTCCAGATGTTGCTGAACTACAACTTCCATGATTCTTTCAATGAAATAATTGTAGCTCAGCAACATCTGGAGGGCTAGAGTTTGGAGAATGATGATCTAGAGGGACAGTATGTTGAACTACACAAGATTTGGAGCCGTGTAGCCAGAAATGCAGGGAGTGCAGTCTGCTTTCAGCTGAACAAATAGAAAATAAATATATTTGTGAGCTCGTCCCTCCTTTGCCAGATTAAGGAGAGCTTCGGATAATTTCTAAAATGAATAATGAAATACTGCCCAGCCAGACGCAATCCTAATGAAAGGGTAACTAGAATGGGCGTCACAAAGATGGTTTGTTTGTGGAATGTTAGTAAATGACCATTTAACAGGCCAACAGACAATCTAGATCTGAAAGCAACGCTTTGACCCTGCTATAGATCCTTTATTAATCATGCTTGATAAAGGATCTATGGCAGAGCCTAAACATTTATTTAATAAAAGTCTGCTCACTTTATCAATTGAGTGTGCACAGGAATCCGTTTATACTCTATGGTATTTGGGACTCCCCCTCCACCCTCCCACCTGGCCACACCTGAACCTATTCTTTGTTAGGAACAGTACAGTCTCCACTGGATTAAAAGTCAGATGTGAAATGTTGGCTGCACTCCTCTGTAAGAAAGTAAACCCAGACAATAGTTTTGGCCCTTATTGGTGAGGTGTATCTGAAATCCATGTTTTGGAAAGCACCCGTAATGCCCTGTGTAGTGTATTTAAATACCCCCAACCCAGTTGGTTCTCATAATATGAACCTCAATAAATGTATTTAAAAAAATAAAATAGAAAAATGTCTTTCAGAATGTTTGTGGAATGTTGTTATGCCAATATACAATCAAGCAAGACTCTGGGTTTCCTTGCGGTAGATAGAACAACGTATAAATGTGTAGGAGGTATTCGAAATGAGACACCCCAAAAAGTGCAATCCTAAGACCCTAGGGTCATGCCTTATTGGAAATCCAAATGACTCAAACGTTTACATGGAGGCACAACAAGGCTGAATACATAAGAGTCATATTAATCATATTATGATGAAGTGCTCCATACACAAATCATGGATTAATAGGTGCTTACCTGTATTATTTATCACTCCATATGAATCCATTTTAATTCAGACTCCTATGCGTTTTGCCTTGTTGTGCCTCCAAATAAAACCTTTGTGGTTTAAATTAGCTCACTTTAGCGCCACAGATTGTGGGGGTCGAAGGGAGTTCTGTGATGGTCTTGTGGTTTGATGGTCCTATATATATATATACTTTTATTGGAAATCAAGCCCTACATAAAAATTTTTTTTTTTTTTTTATATTTATTGATTTTTTACCCAAAATAGCTGAACAATTCGGCATCTCCATTCTTCCTCATTCTGGATACATTGTCCTAGCCTTGTCAGTTCTCCACGGTTTCTATTTTAGTGCATAAGCCCTATTATTTTCACAACTACACGCTATATAAACAAATACATTTAATGTATTGGAAGTTAGAGATGTACCTGTTTTATATGTTTTATATATATTTGTTGTTTGTATGTCCTATGCCCGTACTCCGGAATTAGTAAACTTTTTGGGTTAAACCCAATCCCTGATTCTCTCCTGACATCACTAGAGATAACGACTAATGTAAAATAAGCCTGACATTAACCCATTAAGGTCGAGTGACCAGTCATCACAAAGTTTTCCCTGAAGACATTATGCGGTGTGGATTATCCTGGTAATTTACATTGATTAGCCTTATTTGGCCATCCGTCAGTATTTCCAAATACAATACTTAAGACCTAATTGCTATGATTGCATTGACATCCTTGGTCCTTAAGTGGTTAATCCCTAAATTTGAAACTCCCGTATATTCTAGTCTGAAGAAATCTCTCATCAATCTTTCTTTTTGTCCGTCTAGCAGGGGAATCGCTCTGAGAGATGGCCTTGTTGAAGAGCGGCTGGTTGTGGAGGCAAAGTAAGTGTACATCTCACTTTATATTAGTAATACGCCACTTCATTATTTACATTTGAAGAAATGCTGCAAGACTTGTGGTCTGCCAAGGGTTAATTGTTGTAGGAAAGGACTGCGTTGTCCTTCTTTGTATAAACCTGTTAACGTGTTTGTGTTTATCTCTTTATGTATATTTATTTCTTTAGTTTGATCTCCCACATATAACCTCTGTAGGCTTCATTAATCTATAAGATTTTCAGTTATGAGTTACTAAGAGAGTTACCCGTTCTGATTGCTTGTAGTGTAACCTGACGGAATTAGACCCTAGTACCAAATCTATTTTATTTTTAAGGCTTTTCTTTTATTCGTGAAAAGTAACACTGGCCCTCTCATGCTTGTATATTCAATGAGCAGTAGAGAGACTCTCTATAAATGGGACAACCCAAGCATTCCGTCTCTTTACTAAGCTAAAGTTGCATTAGGGCTCACTTGTTAAAGATTATGAGGGTGACGCCATTTTATTGTCTCCATCGTAATGTTTAATTTTGGCGAGGATACTTCCCTGATATGGGGTGATTGGCATCATCCGCAGGCTCACTTTAATTTGATAGCCACCTTTATGGGTGTGATGAAATGTTCTACGTTATGACATGTTTGTGGACCCAGGACATACTTGAAAACAAGAGAAATCTCAATGTATCCTTCCTGGTAAAATATTTCCAATGTATCCTCCCAGGGATTACATATTCAGGAAGTTTGTCATGATGTCAGAGAGAGAGGAACTGGGAGCAGTCACACCTACCTCATCCTGGAGTAGTCTGGACTCCCTGACCCCACTAATAACCGAGTGTTTCCCTACAGAGAATAACTGGAATAAGTCTGGGTGGTTCAATGACTTCACGTGTTGATCTCACAAAATGTTAAATGTTTTCATGCGCATCCTGCAGGCTCCATTTTGAGGCGCTGGAAGAAGCATTGGTTTGATCTGTGGATGGACGGCAGTCTGGTTTATTATCCAGATGAAGCACGTGGAACCTATGAAGAGAGACTCCTATTAAAGTTTCATTGTACAAATATAAGGGCTGGTGCGGAGTGTGACGGTGAGTCTGATGGTGGATTGATGGGTGAAGCCTGAGGATTGAGAGTTGGATGGAGTTAAAGGTGTTGAAGTGATGGGTGGTGGAGTCATGTGCGAAGTCTGCAAGAGGAGTGATGGATGGTGGAGTGATATGTGGTTGAGTGATGGTTGGTCTGCAGGTAGAGTGCAGAGATGGCTTGTGGTGAAGTGTGGGGGGCAAAATGGGCACATTGGGCATTAGATAATTACCACCACCAATTTTGGAGGGAAAAAAACTCAACCTTAATATTTCATCTCCTGGGATTTATATTAACTTCACAATTTCAGGTCCATTCCTTACAGTGGGATAGTTCATCCAACTCCATACATCATTATACTTGCAGAGATGTATATATCTAGGTGGGGTCTTTCTGAAGTACATGTAGCTGTGTGTGACCCCCTTTCACACTGTTTTTCAGATATCCAGCTACCAGAAGGCGGTTCTCGGAATGCTTTGGTGATGTTACAGATGCGAGATCACAGGGTATATTTATGTGCAGAGAGCGAGGACGATGCGGTGTGAGTATGTCCATGGGTTTTATTGGGGGGAGGTGGTTCTTCACTAAAAGAGATATTATAATGAATTGATAAACAAATAGCTCAATTGTGGCAAAAATAGTCAAATGTGACAACACCTGAATCGGACAATGTTTCTGAATCTGGGCTACAAGTGACTACATTTCTCTGTTCAGTTTTGAATTCACTATAATTCAATCTTTATTGAATAAAGTCTATGTTACACGACAGAATTGTTATATAACAAGGAGTTGTGTTGAGGGGTGACAGTTCTGAGCTGGGATGGGTAAAGTAGGATTAGTTAAAGATCCGGACAAATTTAAGATATGAAGATTAAATAAATCTCTCTTCCTGGCATCCACCCCTGGACACTGACCTTCAGAGACCTCTGACACTTTCAGACAGTACTTCTAGCCCAGGGCTTCCCAAACTTTTTGAGACTGACACACACGGCAATGAGAGACAAACGTCAAAGACTTTCCTGCATTACTTTCTTTTTACCTTCATCCTTGGCTTATGAATGTCACATTAACCTGACATCTCACTCAAGAGATGTGCATATTCCTAGCCAATTGGACTTACTAGTATTAATTGACCAGTTTTAATGATGGTATTTATTAAAATAACAAACTTTGAAGGAACTCAAACATGTATTCCTACATCTGTAGCGTTCACCTCACCAGTATGCAATAAAATAGGAAGATTTACTTACCTTTCAGCCAACGTTGTGCCAGTGTCACAGTGGCAGGCTTGCCTCCATGGCTGAGATCATCAGTCTTGCTCCCCATAGAGATGAATCTCAGCCAATCCAATGCTTCCACATAGGGAAGCTTCGGGAGGCTAGCGCGCATTTACAGCAAATAACCCTCTGCACCAATCAGCACATCCTCATAGAGATGCACTAAATCAATTAATCTCTATGGGGAGTATTCAGCGTATCCATGCAGAGCATGAAACACTGAACTTACATCCTGCAAAGAATGCAGAACCTCGTCCAGGAAGTCCCACTAGTGGCTCTCTGACTGACAGCTACTAGAGGTTGGAAATGTATTACAAAGAAAGCTGGGAAGGCAAGGTTAGTCATTACTGAGCAGCTGTTCAGAACTACAACTACCATGCTGCTTTGCTTGAATAAAGGCTTGCTGTCCATGCTGCCCCAAAACACCAACTGCTCACCTCATCATGTTCTCGCTTGCTGGAAATGAACCTTGTATCTTTAAATCGGATGGTGAGACGGAGGGGCCATTAATCTTGTATTTCCCTGTAAATGGCAGATGTTATGAGGTTTGTGTAAACTCTATGACATGTTGACATGGGTGGAGCCTGATATAAAGTGGGTCATTCGCTAAACCAGGATTATGGAAAATTTACAAAAATAGTAAATTGTACATCAAAATATCCAAATTGGGAACATTTCGCTCTGCAGCTATTTTGGCCCAAACTTTCAAATTCCCCTTGTCAGTGCTGTGCAGTTCCCCGTTAATGAAAACACAGGAGATTAATTACATGAAGGGACACTGTAGACACCCAGACCACTTCTGCTAATTGAAGTAGTCTGGGTGCTGTGACCCTTTACACTTAGTGCTGCAATGTAAACCATTGCCGGTCCAGAGAACTGTAATGTTTACATTGCAGCTCTAAGTCTGCCCCCTGTGGATGTCTACCAGACAGCCACTGGGGGTACTTCCGGAATCCTAGCAGACTTTTGGTCCGTTATCTGATGCAGGATGTCCTCAACGACGTCCAGCATCAGATTTTCCCCATAGCAAAGCATTGCATTAGGTCGACGTCGGCGGGGGAGGCGCATGGGCGGAGCCTGACCCAGCACCGAGGGACATCGGTGCTGGATTCGGGTAAGTGGCTGAAGGGGGTTTAACCTCTTAGGCCCACAGGAGGGGGGGGCATGAGGGTGGGGGACACACACCTATTAACCCCATAGTGCCAGGAAAACGGCTTGGTTTTCCTGGCACTATAGGATCCCTTTAATAGCACACAGTATTTGATATTATCAATGTGTATTCTACTGAGGGTTTGTCTGATCTGTTTCAGGGCTTGGAAGATGGCTCTGGATGATGCTAAATACTACCCGGTAAGTGATTTCTATTACTCCTTTACGATTATAATTACAATTATTATTATTATTATAGATATTTTTGCAATTTTTTATTTTTATTGTAGTATTTAGAGTGTCATTACATTTAAAACAAACATTAGCAATGACATAATGCGTTTTAAACACAGCTCTTGAATACTATAGTCTTCCAGGACAGTGTAATCAAACCTCATACTGTGAAATATTAATAAAACAACTCTCCTGAAGCTAGGTCAAATGCTGCTCATGGGGTGGAGGGGGGGATTATGTGCTCCTGTAGAAGTATCGGTACTTTGTCTACAGAGGCGATGCTCCATATAAGTAAAAAGTACTAAATATACTCAGAAACTGAAAAATTTAAAATCGGTTCAACAGAAATAGAACAGATGGCATAGAGTCCGGCCAAGTCAGGTAACGGCTGTAGATATTTTCAAAGCGGATGATGTTTTTTTGCCTGCCGGATAAAATGTGAATGCTGCACACATCCTATTGTAGCTTGTAAGGTGTCGGACTGGTTGATGCGGTGTCTGCGTTAGATACAGAAAGTCCCAAAGCTGAAATGAAAGCGTTGGCTCCCGTAGGGTCAGTGAGCTTCAATTTATTGCCTTTGTTTTGGACACTTCTACAGTTGGTGACGATTGCCCTCTCCAAAACCAGTTTACAATCTCCCTTACTGTGTGTATGAAATATCTTGTATGCAGTACACGTGTTACATGCTCCAGACATCCGTGGGTGATGTCACATGTTTACCGTTTTGATGTTTACATTACATGACTGCCACTGTCCTACCTGCAGCACACACTAGGCATGAAGACGTTGGTCCAACCCTGGTACTCCCATTAATTACTTTCCATACGACAAATTAGCAATCGTTTATGGCTCATGTGGTGGTCAAATAGTATAGGCATTTAAAAACCGGGTCAGGATGCTTAAAATTGAGGATTTCAACCGATGGAATGCATTCAGACAAGCTGACATCTGGATACAATTCTGTAAATAGTTAAATATTGACAATAATGTCTGGGTTTTGCAGTTCGAGTGGCCTGAACAGAGTTGGATGGCTTCACCCCATTTAACATGAGGCCATATGGAATGGACGTTAATGAATAGGTGTAGATGTGTAGAACTGAAGAGGGAATAGCCGAGTTAAGTCTTTTTGCAATTGGATATTGTGAAATTCTCTTGTTAATTCTACGTTTGGTTTTGGGAATGAATCTTGGAGTGTTTGAATTACATGCTGTGTGTTTCATGATAAACCGAAAGCAGACAATGATTCAGGACGGTAATATCCTACTCATTTGGTTACTAAATATGGCGTCCTGCTTTCTTATACAATTTCTCTTTTTCTTTCTTTATTTTTTTTAATTCAGTGTGAATTTCGATTCTTTAAACATGCATCCCTTTATCCTCAGGTGTATGTGTACGATCCTTATGATGACAGTTACCAAACCGTACCTATGCACGATCACCACGCAGTTTATACAGGTCACGGTTATGGCCATTATGGCTACAGTAAGTTTAAAAAAATATATATAATTTTTGGGTTGTGAATGTAGATTGTAGATGTTTAATGTTTTGCTTTGACAGTGATTGGATCCATTTTCACTGCACAAATAGATCACTTGCTCATAATTCTATCGTTACTGACATTTCATTTATTAGAAAGATAAAGGAATGGCGGATTTGCTGCCTCTCCCTTCTCTATTTATGTGGGTTTTTTTACCCTTTTTTTAAAAAAAATTCCAAAATCAGTTCATTTCTACATGTGGAGGCAGCTGCCAAAATATAAAATGCAATAAACTTTAAAAAAAAACACAATTACCACCAGAATGGCTGAGACAGAATATCGAATATACACAAAAAGCCGTGTTCAGTTATTTTGCACTCATTCGGTATTTTATTTTCCTTTGTGTTTAAATGTGCTCGGCTAGTTGGAGGAATACAGCACTCCCTCATTAAAAGAGGATTTGTGGATCTATATTGAGCATTGAACTCATTATGAAAGTGATGCTTGTCACTGGCAAGTCTAACACTGCCATCTACTGGTGAGAAATGATTATTACATGTATATATTTTTTTAAAATACATTTTTTTTATTCAACTTCTCCTGCATATCTCCTGCAATTATTAGCTTGGGGTGGTCTACCTCGGAATTACCATGAAAGGTTATTTCCACAAAGCTCAGCTGGACATGCAAATTGTGATTCAGACTTTAACCTGCACATCTCAGGTGCCCTTGGCAATGAGGCATTTCTCTAAACACCGCTTTTTAAACCAAAGCACAAGTTGTGATCAGACAGCTCGACAGGCAGAAGCAGGAGAAAGTCTGAGCATGATGCCTTTCTGTGCTCATTTACATATCCAGCTGGGAATTCTGGGAGAGCTGCAGAAACATGCTTACTTGAGAATATGTAGATGATGCTGAACAGTAAATCTTAAATTTGTGCATTTTTTAAAATGAGCTTTTACTTTTATTTTGTGATTATATTGTGTTGTATGTGGGATGTAAAGATAAAAGATTTGTTTTGCTGTGCAAAACATTGATTCAAATAACAGTAAGTGTTATGGCAGATACATGTATATTATTAGTATAGTGTGAAATTTAAAAAAACAGTCCCTTGTAGTGATGTCACGAACTGTTCGCCGAACGGTTCGCCACGAACGGTTCGCCGCGGACTCATCATTGAGTAAACTTTGACCCAGTTCCTCACAGTCAGCAGACACATTCCAGCCAATCAGCAGCAGACCGTCCCTCCCAGACCCTCCCACCTCCTGGACAGCATCCATTGTGAAGCTGCATTCTTAGTGAGCTGTCCAGGAGGTGGGAAGGTCTGGGAGGGAGGGTCTGCTGCTGATTGTCTGGAACGTGTCTGCTGACTGTGAGGTACAGGGTCAAAGTTTACTCAATGATGAGTCCGTGGCGAACCGTTCACGAACCGTTCGGCGAACAGTTCGGGACATCACTAGTCCCTTGCTTTAAAAGTTTGTTATTGAACGAGACAAGCTCTGAACATTTGATAACATTTCTCCAACTGACATATATGGGAAATTCCTATTCAGTTGCCAGAGCTATGCTTCCCTTTTTATATTACAATGTTGCCCTAAGTGTGAAAATCTTATATTGTGACCATAAGTGTAGGCTGCACAGAAACGTCTCAGTTCTTCAGTAGAGTAACCCTGTGATCTAGCTACAGCCAGTAAAGTATAGCCCCCGATTCTCCAAACCAGGCTCTGTATAAGCTGACAGCATCAATAATTGGGATTTTAGGACTGGGTAGTAAAGAACATGGCGGTATGTGGTTTTACAATGCCGAGTCCTGTATTTACGACAAATAACGCTCTGTCTTTGTTCATTGTCTTGTCCCCAGTTCATGGAATGCCACCTGTCCTTGTCAGAGAGGATCCCTACGAACGACGATATGGACAGCAGCTGGCCCTCGGAATGCTTGCTGGGGCAGCCACAGGATCTGCCATGAGCGCCCTCATGTGGCTGCCATGTTGGTTTTAGGACCTTCCAGCAGATGAGAGATTTTTGCAGCTCTGGAATGCTGTGGATGGACATTTTCTATGTATTATGTAGCTGGGTTCAGTATTTTCCCATTCTTCTATGTCTTGCCTGTATGAAGTTAACTTTAATTATTGATAGTCAGGGCTTGGCACAGCTTGGCACAGCTTGATACAATAACTAACCTAATCAATCACTTACACCACATACACCATACTGCACCTAATGCAATCATCGCTCACTCACGTTCTATCCACTTATTATCAGTTTCCCACATAATACCCATCATGTATCCATCTGTGGCCCTCTGCGTTAGTTGGGTCCGGCTGCATTTTATGTAACATGTAAATCCTGTTTGGAAAACCTGAAAAAAATGATAAGTTGCTGTTAAATCCAAGCTGCTTTGAAACCAAAATGTGCTTTTTATACAACTTCTCCCAAAAATATCAACAGGTTTCAAATTGTTTTGTGACATTTTTAATATATGGACAGTTTATAGATTTTTTTTTTGTTAACACTCTCCCCTGAGTGTCCTTTAATTTCTAATGTCTATTGTCGGTACATCTGCTGTAGATACCCTCCAGGCTACAAAGGGTTAATGTGAGTGTGTGCGTGCTCATACGTGAGGGGATCAGCATTTATAGTGAAGAAATGGTTATTGTGTAAGTGGAACACTCACTGAAGTGAAGTAGGGCAGTTGAGGTAAACACACACACTTACCTCTGGAGCATCTTTAGAGCAGGCATGCCATTGACCCATGATGCAAAATAAATATGAAATGCTGAATGAGCCAATGTGTGCCCGGATATATTAATATTATACCTGTATGCATGCATGGTTATGAGGTTAAATTAATTTGCATTGTATGCTTTGGCTGTGCCAGGACAGGCAAGCTTAGAGTGTAAAAACTGAAGTGTCTTTTGAGCTATGAAAGACCCAAAAGGCATAATGAGGTCCCTTTAAACAATCAAAAGAAATAATTAAAAACAATAACAGTTTATTGAGTACATTTATAAATACAGGGACTATGCAAAAAGAAAATGGAAAGAACCTATAAAAAAAAAGCCAATAAGGCTTTGTGGATAATAAAGCTTTCACAGCCCAAAAGACACTTCAGTTTTTTCATTATTGCCTAATAGGGTTAACCCCTCTAGGTTCCTATAACACACCACCAAGTCTATTAAAAAACTGAAAATGGTACAGAATTTTAAAAAAATAAATAAAAAAGATTAACCAATAACGTTAATTAGTGATCAGATGATGAAAATTTTTTTTAGAGGTGTCATTTTCTTTATTAATCCTTAGACTCTGATTAAACGGCTTCTTGCTGTTTGCAGACCCTAAACTGAATCCTAGAGTGAATCCCTACCCTGTTCTGCTGTTCTTAACTGAGCAGCTGGCTAACAGTGGACGTGTGTGGCCCCAGAGTGGTCTATGTGTTGCGGTTTTGGTGTTTGTGTATATCCTGAAACTTCGTTCACGATCTAATACTAATTTTGGTGTACAATGCAAGTTTCTGTCAAGTCATTTTGTAGAGTAGAAATTAGTTTTAAACTGGACATTTAAATCACTATTACCAATACCAATTCAATCTATGATTGATGCAGTCACTCTCCGTGAATCTTGTACCAAAGGCTGACACTCTATTCGGTACATGATGCACTTGAAGGCTGATGCTGTATTTGGGTTGGACAGCCAGTTGTGATACACTGTGTACAATAAATTCTCAGTGCTTTGAAGATATTGTGTTTATTTTATGTTGTTTTTTTATCTGTGTTATTCTTTTATGCAGTTCTTTGGGTATATGAAAGGAAGTCTTTTATTTCTCATCCCATAATGTGTTATTAACAGAGGGAATTCTAAGATTCTTGTAATTAGTAATAATGATTAATTTTAAAAAGGGTCAGTGTGTGAATATCGGGGTGTCAGTGTGTGAATATCAGGGTGTCAGTGTGTGAATATTTGGGCGTAGGTGTGTGGAGGGTCAATGTGTGAATATATTGGGGTGTAGGTGTGTGGAGGGTCATTGTGTGAATATCGGGGTGTAGGTGTTTGGAGGGTCAGTGTGTGAATATTGGGATGTAGGTGTGTGGAGGGTCAGTGTGTAAATATCGAGGTGTAGGTGTGTGGAGGGTCAGTGTGTGAATATCGGGGTGTAGGTGTGTGGAGGGTCAGTGTGTAAATATCGGGGTGTAGGTGTGTGGAGGGTCAGTGTATAAATATCGGGGTGTAGGTGTGTGGAGGGTCAGTGTGTGAATATCGGGGTGTAGGTGTGTGGAGGGTCAGTGTGTGAATATATAGGGGTGTAGGTGTGTGGAGGGTCAGTGTGTGAATATATAGGGGTGTAGGTGTGTGGAGGGTCAGTGTGTTAATATCGGGGTGTAGGTGTGTGGAGGGTCAGTGTGTGAATATATAGGGGTGTAGGTGTGTGGAGGGTCAGTGTGTGAATATATAGGGGTGTAGGTGTGTATAGGATCAGTGTGTAACTATATCGGGGTGTGGGTGTGTGGAGGGGTCAGTGTGCTAATATCGGGGTGTAGGTGTGTGGTGGGTTATTGTGTGAATATCGGAGTGCAGCTGTATGGAGGGTCAGTGTGTAAATAAGGGCCAGGTGTGGTGTGTGGAGGGTCAGTGTGAATATCAGGAAGCCAGTGTGTAGGTCAGCTGTAAATATTCTGAGGGTAGGTGTGTGGAGGGTCAGTGTGTGAATATATTGGGGTGTAGGTGTATGGAGGGTCAGTGTGTAAATATCGCGGTGTAGGTGTGTGGAGGGTCATTTTGTGAATATTTGGGTAAAGGTGTGTGGAGGGTCAGGGTGTAAATATTGGGGTGTAGGTGTGTGGAGGGTCAGTGTGTAAATATCGGGGTGTAGGTGTGTGGAGGGTCAGTGTGTAAATATCGGGGTGTAGGTGTGTGGAGGGTCAGGGTGTGAATATCGGGGTGTAGGTGTGTGGAGGGTCAGTGTGTGAATATATAGGGGTGTAGGTGTGTAGGTCAGTGTGTAATATCGGGGTGTAGGTGTCGGAGTGTAGCTGTATGGAGGGTCAGTGTGTGAATATATCAGGGTGTAGGTGTGTGGAGGGTCAGTGTGTGAATATCAGGGTTTAGGTGTGTGGTGGGTCATTGTGTGAATATAGGAGGGTAGGTGTGTGGAAGGTCAGTGTGTGAATATATTGGGGTGTAGGTGTGTGGAGGGTCAGTGTGTAAATATCGCAGTGTAAGTGTGTGGAGGATCATTTTGTGAATATTGGGGTAAAGGTGTGTGGAGGGTCATTGTGCGAATATCAGGGTGTAGGTGTGTGGAGGGTCATTGTGTGAATATCGAGGTGTCGGTGTATAGGGTCATTGTATGAATATCGCGGTGTAGGTGTGTGGTGGGTCAGTGTGTGAATATATCGGGGTGTAGGAGTGTGGAGGGTCATTGTGCGAATATCGGGGTGTAGGTGTGTGGTGGGTCATTATGTGAATATCGGAGTGTAGGTGTGTGGAGGGTCAGTGTGTGAATATTGGGGTGTAGGTGTGTGGAGGGTCATTGTGTGGGGTGTAGGTGTGTGGAGGGTCATTGTGTGGTGTAGGTGTGTGGAGGGTCAGTGTGTGAATATTGGGGTGTAGGTGTGGGGAGAGTCATTGTGCGAATATCTGGGTGTAGGTGTGTGGAGGGTCAGTGTGTGAATATTGGGGTGTAGGTGTGGGGAGGGTCATTGTGCGATTATCAGGGTGTAGGTGTGGGGAGGGTCATTGTGCGAATATCAGGGTGTAGGTGTGTGGAGGGTCATTTTATGAATATCGGGGTGTAGGGTTTGTTCCCACAGCATTGTCCACCTGGCGGCTCAACAACTGGGCCTTACGAAGCTCCCACTATGGGAAGAACTCTCACAGCAACAGGTCTGGGGGTGAAAGGGCGTCTTACCTCGTCCGAATTGCACTATTATCCTCAGCAACCTTCATATATTGGCAGCCAGCCCCTCAGGCCCAGGAATTGGCTAATGCAGTGCCTTACAGTTACAATACTGAGGCCCCGAGCCGGAGCAATGGCTGAAGATGGACTTGCCTCCATGGGCTAACAGCCCACTTACCTTAAATAGCTCCAGCTTCCTAACTGACATCTCCTTACACATGTTTGTATATTAAGAGCAATGTTTGTAAAATCCTTATTTGTTATGTTTGACTTATATTATTAGTTTCTAGCCACCAGTGTTGTGTTGTTTTTTTCTCTTGACTACATAGTATACAGCATTTATTCTGTGCCAGTGGATTTACCAATGTCTTCACTAGCCTGTTACTCAAGGCATGTATTTACCTATTTCCACCTAAGTCTAGTGTTTCTCTAAATGTGTCTCCTCAATGGTTCTATCTACCTAGACAAGTATGTTAAGCCTGTATGTTCCATAAAAAAAAAAAAACAAGAAGATTTCTACCTATAAGTGGTTGTTATATAATATGTCACTTGTCAACTGTCATTAAATAACCTTGTATCTGACACGGCGCTCCAAAAATAAAGAATGTAAAAAAAAAAAAAAAGACATGTACAGTCAGGTCCATAAATATTGGGACATCGACACAATTCTAATCTTTTTGGCTCTATACACCAACACAATGGGTTTGAAATGAAACAAACAAGATGTGCTTTAACTGCAGACTTTCAGCTTTAATTTGAGGGTATTTACATCCAAATCAGGTGAACGGTGTAGGAATTACAACAGTTTGTATATGTGCCTCCCACTTTTTAAGGGACCAAAAGTAATGGGACAGATTAACAGTCATAAATCAAACTTTCACTTTTTAATACATGGTTGCAAATCCTTTGCAGTCAATTACAGCCTGAAGTCTGGAACGCATAAACATCACCAGATGCTGGGTTTCATCCCTGGTGATGCTCTGCCAGGCCTCTACTGCAACGGTCTTCAGTTCCTGCTTGTTCTTGGGGCATTTTCCCTTCAGTTTTGTCTTCATCAAGTGAAATGCATGCTCAATCGGATTCAGGTCAGGTGATTGACTTGGCCATTGCATAACATTCCACTTCTTTCCCTTAAAAAACTCTTTGGTTGCTTTTGCAGTATGCTTCGGGTCATTGTCCATCTGCACTGTGAAGCGCCGTCCAATGAGTTCTGAAGCATTTGGCTGAATATGAGCAGATAATATTGCCCGAAACACTTCAGAATTCATCCTGCTGCTTTTGTCAGCAGTCACAGCATAAATAAATGCAAGAGAACCAGTTCCATTGGCAGCCATACATGCCCACGCCATGACACTACCCCCACCATGCTTCACTGATGAGGTGGTATGCTTTGGATAATGAGCAGTTCCTTTCCTTCTCCATACTCTTCTCTTCCCATCACACTGGTACAAGTTGATCTTGGTCTCATCTGTCCATAGTATGTTGTTCCAGAACTGTGAAGGCTTTTTTAGATGTTGTTTGGCAAACTCTAATCTGGCCTTCCTGTTTTTGAGGCTCACCAATGGTTTACATCTTGTGGTGAACCCTCTGTATTCACTCTGGTGAAGTCTTCTCTTGATTGTTGACTTTGACACACATACACCTACCTCCTGGAGAGTGTTCTTGATCTGGCCAACTGTTGTGAAGGGTGCTTTCTTCACCAGGGAAATAATTCTTTGGTCATCCACCACAGTTGTTTTCCGTGGTCTTCCGGGTCTCTTGGTGTTGCTGAGCTCACTGGTGCGTTCTTTCTTTTTAAGGATGTTCCAAACAGTTGATTTGGCCACACCTAATGTTTTTGCTATCTCTCTGATGGGCTTGTTTTGTTTTTTTCAGCCTAATAATGGCTTGCTTCACTGATAGTGACAGCTCTTTGGATCTCATATTGAGAGTTGACAGCAACAGATTCCAAATGCAAATAGCACACTTGAAATGACCTCTGGACCTTTTATCTGCTCCTTGTACATGGGATAATGAGGGAATAACACACACCTGGCCATGGAACAGCTGAGCAGCCAATTGTCCCATTACTTTTGGTCCCTTAAAAAGTGGGAGGCACATATACAAACTGTTGTAATTCCTACACCGTTCACCTGATTTGGATGTAAATACCCTCAAATTAGAGCTGAAAGTCTGCAGTTAAAGCACATCTTGTTTGTTTCATTTCAAAGCCATTGTGTTGGTGTATAGAGCCAAAAAGATTAGAATTGTGTTGATGTCCCAATATTTATGGACCTGACTGTATTTGTGAGGTATGAAAAAAATAATTGTCAATTTAGAAATTCACACTAATTAATTCAGCAACTGGGTGCCTCCATCTTAGCTCCCTGTTAGTAATTGTTATGAGCCCTGTGCTTTGCACTTGGCAGTCAGCATTGAGAAAGCACACAGAGAAGTGGAAACAGGAAACAATGTTTCTATTTCTCCTCTTCATTTGCATTGTGTGCCCTGGCTGTGCCTGAACTAAACTGGAATGCTAAACCTTTATTAAGCATTTTACAGAAAACTGAAGCTCACATGAAGAAAAAGGTTACCACGAGTTATAGGGAATTTTCAATGTTTTATTTAATGTTATTTTCTATATAAGTAACAGTCCCCCTTTAAAAATGCTGGTTACATTAAGAATAACACCACGCTGAGACTTACCTCACCGGCAGAGTGCCCCTCCTTCTTCGAAGCATTAGGAATACCAACGCAGACCCTAACTCCAGCCACTCCATTAACCCACAAGCCTCGGACCCAAAACAGCTAATAACTTTCATCCCCAAAGGCAGTGACGGCACAAAAGATGGGACATGAAACCAGTAGCACCACAAGAACACGTCTCTTATTAATGTTACCTTTAATTGTGTTCATGTTTAGTATTTAATTTTAATTTCCATGTTGATATAACTGCTGGTGACCCCACTCATGTGCGCTAGTATGTTTACCCCCGTGTCCTCCTAGGTTAGAGGACGTAACTAGCTAAACTTAACCTCAAAGTATGTTAACTCCTCGTACCATAAATGCCCTACTACACTATAAAGACTACCCGAGCACAGGCCATGAGTACTGGTGGCAATGCATAGCTCTTACAGGCCACGCCATCGCTCAATACCACACGTCCCTTAGTAACCAGGATGTAAACTAGCTAATCGAACATACTACTTGTACATCTTTTATGTGACTTAAATTACAAGAGTGAGACGCTTTCTACACAGTATGTGTACATCTTGCTTGAAGAATAGAGAGGGTTTTTACATACACCCACCCAATGTGTGATTGTTCTAGTATTTAATCGTGCAGCACTAGTGACACTCCTTACCTTGTAACTTTCTACGTATATAATGTTTCACTTTTGCATCTTTGACTCCTCTAAAATCAGCCAAAAATTGTCTCATTCATTCAATCTTATTGCCCTCCCATAAGCTGACATAACCTGAATGAACCTGTTTTATTAAAAAAAAACAAAAAAAACTGTGCAGTCCTATCGCTTACCACGATTTTACATAACTTGCAATACCTGTATATGTTGTCGTTGGACAACAACCTGTATATCAACCTTTTGCACAACGAAAATAAAAAATTAAATTTTTTATTTTATTTTTTTTTTATGCTGGTTACGAGGCGTATTGTCTAGGGATTACATTCCATCTCAGCCACGAGAGTTAGAAAATGCTATATATTTGCCATCCCCTTAGTTGGCTGGATGGGTAATGTCAGAATTGCTTTAGATTTAGAGAGAGGCAATAAATCATGGTCACCTCTCAATGTTCTTCTGGGAAAAGCTTCCATTTATAACTAGAGCTGTATTATAGAACAAGACACAATATTACTTCCTTTGGGGGGCTTTAGGGGGTACTGCCATGTTTGATATAACATTAAACCCTTCAACTTAAACTATTACAAATATATATATGTATTCTGAACTGATATTAATGATGAATGTAGCCATTATCACAAGAAAAGGCTGCAGGCTTAGCGTCAAGAAACTGTGACAAATAGGAATGAAATTGGAAAGCGCGGAGTTTGCTAGAGGACAGTATACAGCGTCAGTGACTGGAAAACGTACAGCAGAGTGAACGAACGCCAGTCCTGGAATGAAATCACTCTCATACCTTAGAGATGGAATGCCTTTGTTACAAATGATGAATTGTCCTCTAAGGACATACGCTCAGTATCACATTCCCCATATAGCTATATGAGTCTATATACAATATTATATAATATAATATTAGTATTTCTGATCGCGATTAATAGTTCAGTTTGATACAGTGTTAACCAATTACAATACAGTGCATTCTTTTAATTAAAGGCACGTCATGTAAAATCCATCATACGGCTCTAAACTGGTACATTGTAGTGCTGAGTACACTGCTAGTGAATGAATTAATATTTTTTTATATTTTGCCGTAGATATAATCTTAAATATATAGGCATCACTAAGGCAGGGGGTATTGGGGGATGAAAACCCAGATGTAGGATTAATATCAAAGAACGTCCCACGGTGCCCTACAGGTGAACAGTTTGGGGCTCGGCCTTCATTCTTCAAACACACATGGTTAATGTAGTGGAGCCAAGCAAATTCATAAATTCATGGTTCTGAGGACCCTGATTAACCATTGGGCCATAGGCGGCTGCCTAGGGTCGCCTTATTGTTTTACCTGCTTTCAGTTCTGTTTTTTTTTTATCTGTTTCTATTTTTAATTTTACACCATTCTCAAAGCAGCTACATTTAATAAAAAGAGAGTTTGGAAGGGAATAGTGGCCCTCTCAATGTCTGTCAGCAGGGGGTGCTGCAGGACAGATCTTTGGGGCACACCACTCTATAAGTTAGTTAGAGTAGCTGGATCACATTGAACAGCACATTGAGAAAGCAGCATTGGTGCACAGTTTATGGGTAGCGAGGAGGGGACATAACATAGAATATCTGGGGTATGTCCCGACATGTTTCCACCTCTCTGTTAGTGTTGGGGTCGTCAAGGTTTGGGCTCAAGCCTCAGCTGCTTCTGGAACCTAGCAACAATGAAAGCCCTTAGGTTAAAAATTTTAATTGGGAAATATTGCATCTGGACATCAGACCTCTCCCTGGCACTGTGCTTGGGAGGGAAGGTGTGTTGCCAAGAGATGCTGGGACAATCTATATTTATTTATTTATTATTTAACTCATTTCAATGACTCCCAACTGGTAAACGATATCATTGTTTCTCGTTCCATTTATCTTTTCACCCAGCATCTCTGCCAGAAACTCCCCGCTCGGTCTCTCTGTATCACTGCAGCCCCCTAGTAATCTGTGAAGGTCATAATTCATTCACTTACCAAAATATTAAGCATCAGAGAGTTTG